CAAGCGCCTGACGCTCAGCGAGATCTACCAGTTCCTGCAGGCGCGCTTCCCCTTCTTCCGCGGCGCCTACCAGGGCTGGAAGAACTCCGTGCGCCACAACCTCTCGCTCAACGAGTGCTTCATCAAGCTGCCCAAGGGGCTCGGGCGGCCCGGCAAGGGCCACTACTGGACCATCGACCCGGCCAGCGAGTTCATGTTCGAGGAGGGCTCGTTCCGCCGCCGGCCGCGCGGCTTCAGGCGCAAGTGCCAGGCGCTCAAGCCCATGTACCACCGCGTGGTGAGCGGCCTGGGCTTCGGGGCCTCGCTGCTGCCCCAGGGCTTCGACTTCCAGGCGCCCCCGGCGGCGCCGCTCGGCTGCCACGGCCAGGGCGGCTACGGCGGCCTCGACATGATGCCCGCGAGCTACGACGCCGGCGCGGGCGCCGCGAGCCACGCTCACCCGCACCACCACCACCACCACCACCACGTCCCGCACATGTCGCCCAACCCGGGCTCCACCTACATGGCCAGCTGCCCGGTGCCCGCAGGGCCCGGGGGCGTCGGTGCGGCCGGCGGCGGCGGCGGCGGCGGCGGCGGCGGGGACTACGGGCCAGACAGCAGCAGCAGCCCCGTGCCCTCGTCCCCGGCCATGGCGAGCGCCATCGAGTGCCACTCGCCCTACACGAGCCCTGCGGCGCACTGGAGCTCGCCCGGCGCCTCGCCTTACCTCAAGCAGCCGCCCGCCCTGACGCCCAGCAGCAACCCCGCGGCCTCCGCAGGCCTGCACTCCAGCATGTCCTCCTACTCGCTGGAGCAGAGCTACTTGCACCAGAACGCCCGCGAAGAGCTCTCAGGTAACGCAGCGCGCCCAGGGGTGGCCCGCTGGGGGCCTCGCCCCCCGGCCTCCAGCCGCCGCGCCTACTGCCAGTCCCACCCGGACGGACGCAGCAGCCTGGGGCCCCAGGGCACTGGGAGAAACTGATGCTGGGGGGAGCTGGCACCGTATTCATGCGGGCGGGGATCGGGGTCTTACTGTCCTCCCCAGTACCCCCTGGTCAGGAGTCTGGCCTCCAGAATTGCACGGCTGCTAGGAGGATGGTGCAAAGTCTCCTGCCTCTCTGGGGTGGACGGACCAAGCACTGCAGGTCTCCCATGTGGAGCCTGACTTACCTTTGACAGAAGACAGTGGCCTCTGGGGACCTTAGCCAAGGAGCCATGTCTAGTTTCTTTTGTCCTTTTTAAAAAGGTTTGTTTGCTGTACTTTGCCCAAAAGTAAATGTCAGAAAGGGAGATGTTCTGTGTGCTGAGGGGCGAGTGGAGGGTTTCTAGCCGGGCAAGTGCTGTGAGGAGGGAAAGAGAAGGGTCCGGAGGAAAGCAGAGTGGGGTCCGGGGACCTTTCACTACAGGGATGCATTGTGGGTGGAGAGGGAAGCCCGGTGGTCGAGGAATCTCCCCCCCCTCTCTGCTCCGCACGGTGATGACACCCCACTCTGTCCTAGGCCGCAGGACCTGAGGGCCCTGGTGTGACGCTTCCGAGAAATGTGCCTGCCTTTGGGTGCCACTTGTTCTGTGGCCGGTTTAAATTGGGTTGGTCGCAGATTATGAAACTTTATGGACTTGCTAGAGGTGGTCAAAGGTGGGAGGGGGTCGTGGGGATGGTGGGGGTGGAGGAAGGAATTTGAATGTTTGGCTTCGTTTATCTGGAGGAGGGAGACGCAGTAACTCCCTGAAGTGCCCAGGGCGGTAGACTGAGGTCAGGCTAGCCTGCCAGTCAAAGGCATGGGCCCGAGATGCTCTGTCACACCACACACTTCCCTCCCACAGCAATTAGGAGGTGGTTTGCAGGATGATGCATATTTTCTATGCAGTGTTCGTGAGTTGGTGTGCAAACAGGAGCAGGGGGAGAGAGGAAGCCCAGAAATGTGCAGAAGATGTTGGTTCCCTGGACGGTGAAATTTCCCAAATAGGCCTTTTAAATGTGGGTCTCAGAGGTTAACTAAACAAAGACAGTCTCGGCAGGACCACACCGGAGAGGATTTTAGCCTGACTTAACCCACTGAGAGCGAAGTCTTGTTCAATTTTATGGGAATTTCTCCAAGTAACTAATACAGACGCCCTCCCCTCTTATTTTTGTATCCCCTCGGGCTGGCTTGTCAATCACACACACCCGCAGGCCCCATGGCCCCGCTCGCCTCCTTCCCTTCTCGCAGCCCTCCCCAGACAGGCCCTTCTCAACTTGAACCTAGACTCCTAGGCCTGACAGCCGTGGCGAAACAGTACTTTAAGAAGAAAAAAACGTAGAAAAGAGACTCCCTGACCTTTTTTCGAGGCCACCCTCACCCCACCCCACACACTAAGTGCACGCACAAGCCCGCAGAAATTCGGGTATCTGGAAACACGACTCTGCCTTGGAGAGGATGAAAACTCCTCCGAGCCCCTGCCCCTGGCCTGCCGCGGCTGGCCTTCCCCGAGCCTTGCAGGAACTCCCGGCCGAACCCCCGAGCGCTCAGGAGGCTATGGCTAGGGCCTGACGCCGGACCGGGACGCTCTGCCCCTTCCTTCTTCGCCCTCTTGCCCCCTACCCTCTTGAATACCCCTCGCCCTCTTTCACACACACGCGGACGCCCCTGTTGGCATCTCTCCGGCGGTGCGGAGGCGGGGGTTCCGGGGAGCGGGCCGGGTGCACGGAGGCCCTTGGGGCCTGGCTGGGCCTGATGAAGCATGGGGAGGCCGGCAGGGCCGAGGTTGTAGCTGAGGACTTCCCCCAGCACGCGCACTCACACCCCGCAGCTGCCCCCTCCCCACTCCTGTGCCCTAGGCCAGGCTGGACCTGTGCTCTTCATTAAGCCCTGGGAGTGTTTCAGAAAGGAGAGCGGGCTTTTAACGTCCCGCCCAGCACATCAAAGCGCCGACGGCCGCCTTGCGTCTGCAGGTGTGAGCGCTGGCTCTCTGTGCTGCCGCGACCTGCTATTTTGTGGTCCGGGAATTGGCAGCAGGACGTGCTTTAACGCGATGAGCCAACGCACCTGTGTGCAGAGTGGCACGCACCCGCCGTGGCGCGGGAGCCAGTTGCTGCTCTATTAGAGCAGCGCAGCGCACACGGGCTTAGGTGTTAGCGGGCAATAAACGTAGGCTGAGTCACTGGCCACTGAGTAGCCTGGTCGTTCCCTAAATGTTGGGACCCGAACCGGCCAAGGCAACTGGAGCAGGGCCCGAGGCCCTCTAGCCCGGCCGACGGGTACAGCTTTCTTGCACTGAAAAATCGAATGTGGCCCAGCACAAATGTGCGTTTTATGATCCCCACACCGCTGGTGTGACCAAAAAAGACCCAGGTGAACTGGCTTAACCCAGCCCGTAGCAGAGAGGGGCCCCCGTCCGTGAGATGCCTGAGCCCAGAGCAACCGGTCACCCCGGGCGGACTGCGCCTCGGGGCCAGGAGGCCCCAGAAAGCAAAAGTGCCCGGGGCGGGTTGCAGCGGAACAGCCCAGCTCAGGCCCTGGGCGGAGGAACCACCCAAAGGAGTGGACGACAGGCCTTCTCTGTGCTCCCGCAGCCCGGGGCTCTCTCAGGGACTCCCCGTGCTGCCAGATGCCTTGGAGTGGAGGGCATTTCTCTGCGCCCTGAAGTCCTGGCTTCTCTAGATGAAGCCTGAGCCATTGGGGACCTAAGGAGATGCCTCCAGAAGGAAGAGAGAGGTGTGCTTTTATTTCCTGTCCCTTCCTCTTGTGATGATGCTGTTTCTATCACCCCCTTTGGGCACAGGTAACATCCCTCTGCACCTGTTACTCAGACCAGGCTAGTTGGAAAATAAGGCTCCAAACAAGCTGTGAAGGGGGCAGTGGTGTTTCTGGGGCAGGGTGCTTGGTCCTCCCTGCAGCAGGAGCTCAGGGCTGCGCAGGCCAGGAGCTCTGCGCTGAGGAACCCGTTGGAGTCTGGGCGCTGCTCATCCTGAGATTGAAGCACCGGCCCCAGCCGCAGAGAGTGATATTTGAATCCAGGGCCATGAGCACCCCCATTGTGGGGAACTTGCTCTGTATCTGTGTGTGCAAGGCATCGGCAAGACACAAAGCATGATGGGTCTGAGTTGTCCGATGACCTACGGTTGGAAACTTTGAGGCATTTGCTGGAGCTGGGTTTTGTCAACCAGTTTCATAGAAATGCGCCAAAAGACACGCCAGCACCTTTTGTCCTGAGTCAAAATCAGTCTCAATGAATTGAAATTTTAAAAGTAATATACCCAGTCGTCAGCTGGACAACTTTGTTTCTGAAAAGCCTCTCTTTCTTCTTTCAGTGGGACTGCCTCGTTACCAGCATCACTCCGCTCCAGTGTGTGACAGGAAAGATTTCGTCCTCAATTTCAACGGCATTTCTTCTTTCCACCCCTCAGCTAGCGGGTCGTACTATCACCATCACCACCAGAGCGTCTGTCAGGATATTAAGCCCTGCGTCATGTGAACGGAGGCCCTGCCGCGGCGGCCCTCCGCTGTCCCGTCCTGTCCTGTCCTTGGTGGGGTCAGATAGGAGCCGGGACGACTCACACAATGTGCATGCGGATAGCAGTGAGTAGCACGCCCGTCACTTAGCCAGAATGCCCAGGAGAGCCTTGTTCGCCATTGTTGTTCGCCAATCGCTGGCAGAGGGACAGCCCTTGGCAAGGTAATGCCCCAAATCTGAACACCTACAGGCTCCCAGATGAGGGTGAGAGTGAACTGAGACGGTAGAAAGTTACCGCGTATAAAACATGAACGTGCAACTCTGGGATCTTCCTTGCTTTCAGTAACCAGGGTCTCAAAAGAGCAGACAAGTTGTTTGTTTGTGTGTGTGTGTGTGTGTGTGTGTTTGTCTATGAAAACTTGTGTGCTTTTCAAAAAGGCAGTGCTAAGCACAAGATTTCAAAAAAGCCTCATAGTGTTGCCTGGCTAAGTAGGAGACTTCTGTTTCCCCCTCAAAACGCTACATTTGGATACAGGTGCCAAAGAACATTACTAAGAAAATATTTAGAAACAATGTGTCTAGTTTAAGAAAGTGGTCTTCAGTATTGTGACAATACAACATTTTTACAAGGTTGTTTTCTACCACCGTATTTTAAAGATATTTTTATGATCTTCGTGTATACTCACACTTGGCTTGTATTTTAAAAGGAGGATATATTTGCACTTCTGTATACTTTTACAGTTTGCCAAAATATTTTGATGTAAAATTTTTTCAATAAAATGTGTATAACAAATAGCTGTTTGGGGGACTGATTCCTCTGCGGGCACCCTCGGAGAAAGCGGTGGCCGTCCTCGCCAGGCAGCAGTGCAACTCTACACTGCCCCGCCCCACGGTGCGTAACCGACGTGGTGTGGGGTCTGCGCCTGAGTAACACAGGCCAGGTTCTGATTGTGGGTCTTCTCAGGAGAGAAAAAGAAGAAGGAACGTTTTCTGTTATTTCTTTCTTTACTTCACCCTGGCTTTCTCTGGCTAAACAAAAACCAGAAGGTGAAACTAACTTAAAAGAAAACCAGGCAAAATAATGAAAGGCAAGGGTTCGATTTGAGGAAACCAAGTTTCGGTGCCCCTTTGTTTTCTTTCCTGTGCCCAGGGAGATTTCTGCCCTTTGCCCTTTCCTCCTCCCCACGCTGGTGGGGAGGCAGATGTGGGGCACAGTAGGAAGCCCCCACCGCAGCCACCCTGCTCTGGGCTTAGCACCCTGGGGAGGATTAGGGGCCCAGGGAACCAGTCCCGCTTCCCCCTTGCCCGCAGAAGTTTGGCTGTGGGTGGGGAAAGGTCTGAAGAGTGGGGGGCGGGGAGGCCGGCTGAATATACTGAGCAGTCTCTGAGCCTGGGGCTTTGAAACTTCCTTGGAGAATTTAAGACAGAAGCCGGAGCAACACGGCGTTCTATGGCTGCTGACTGTCCTGGGCCTCCAACTCAGAGCCTGCTGGCCCTGCCTGGCAGCTGCACCCGCCAGCCTCCTTCCTCCCTGATCTCTCCACGCTCCTTCCTGTTAACAAGGGAGTTTTTGGTTTTCCCTCAAGGATCCCTCAGCCCCTTTTTCTTTTCTTGCTGGGTTTCCCAAGCATGAGTGTTACAGGCAGGGCTGGTGACGCTCCGGGTTAGAGAGAGACAACATAGACCAAGCAGGCAGGAGCCCCCCCAGCCCACCTTCTGTCTGGCCAGCCCTTCGAACTCACCGACGGTGTCAGCCACCACGGGTCTGCGCAGGGACAGAAATTCTCAACCACAATTACGCTGTGGCGGCTCTCCTTTCCAGCTCAGGGCTGCAGCTTTGTTTTTCGTTTTTATTTGGTTTTTGGTTTGTTTTGTTCCATTTTCTTTCCTGAATGAAAAATTCACCTTTCTCTCTCACTCCCTAAAAGGTCTTTCTGGCAATCAGTCACCAGGCACTTAATACCACTCAGGAGTTATCTCGCATCCCCGCGGGTTCTGTATTCCAAGTGAATTTCAGTCCAAAGACGGTCTCATAAGTAAAATATCTTGTTTCAAAAAGTCTTAACCATGTTCCTAATCATTCCTTAGGCTTCCTTCCTATATTTTCCAAAATTAAGCAGTGATTAAACATTTTTTTTTTTTTTCCTTTTTGTTTTTTCCGTTTAATTGGGGCTTTTTTTTTTCTTTTATAGTGAGCTACTCGGGGGCCTGCGATAAATTATGAAGTCAGTTTCAGAGTTTGCTCCGACCACAGTGCTGTGTTTACATTCCTTCCGAGGCAGCCGGCATGGTCGTAATTTATATCCTAAACACTCGAACGTAACTTGTTTATACAGAGAATGACAGGACCTCAAAGACGAACACTGCGTCCGTCCGGCTGGTGGCGTCGGGCGGCCCGGCGCGCCCCCTGGCGGCGGTTCCCCGGCTGCGCAGCGCTTCGCAGGGCGCCGCGTCTGGTGGCGCTTCCCCAGCGCAGCGTCTGAGCGCCTCGCCTTCGGGAATGACGCTTTCCAGTCTCAGGAATATTTTTGCTTTTTTCTGTTTTACTCTTTCCATCTCGTGTCTCGTCCTAAAACCAGATCGAGATTCAGTAACAACAGGCCTGGCCATACTTAGTAGGCGCTAAAGTCCTGACTTGCTGCTTTTATTTCTAGATTTCTCCCCCAATAAGGCAGAATTTGTTTTGTTTCCCTTTGAGGCAAAACTGCTTCTCTCCCAACTGCTCCTCCCTCAAGACACACAGGTACACAGACGCGGTCTCTCTCTCTCTTTTGAGGAGCAGGAAGTGCTCAGCTCCAACTGCTGCCCACATGTTAGCGGTTCATTCTAAAGCAAGTGCCGCAGTGCCTTTGGAGGTGAAAATAAATGAACTGATCCAACTCGGGGTCAATGCCTCAGCTATTTTTTTTGGGGGGGGAGCAAATGTATTTTGAGCTCAGAGTTTCTGCTCATTGGCAGAGTAAAGTGATATGTGAAAAGACATTGGATTGTTTTGTGTAAGAATCACCGTTTTTTGTTCATGTGTTTAGGTAAGGCTATATAAATAAAGAAGGAAGCAACCAGGTGAACACTGAGCACGGACCAAGGGCTGGCACTGTGATTATCTCATTACACCTCATGTGGTTCTCTTATTTAATCCATTCAGTGTCTCTATGATCTCAGGATTTTGATTTTATTTAGAGGTCGTGGCTTTCAGGGGTTTGACCCGTGTCTTCTGATGTCAGGTCATTGCCTGCCCTCCCCCCGCTTCGCCCGTAAGAACTCTGCACCTGGTATTGCAGGCATGAGAGGAGCCACTCCAAAGCAGCGCTTCTCAAACTTGAGTGCACATCAGAATCATCTGGAAGGCTTGTTAACAGGCTGTGGGGTCCACCCCCAGTTTCTGATTCAGTGATTCTAGGGATGGGCTCAAGAATTTGTATTCCTAATAAATTCCCAGGTAATGATGTTGGTCCAGGGGCCACACTTTGAAAACCACAGCTCTAGAGAGGCAGTGTGGATTACACATATTTTTATAGGTTCTGATGGGTAGGTATTAAGGCTAGCCCACCAATTAATTAAGCGAAGATCTAAAAATGTTTTTGAAATAGTTTGTCTATCCAAATGCCTCTGTGATTGATTACTGGCCCCTGGGAAAATGCAAGGCCTAATTGTGAACCCCATGCCAGAAAGTAGGATCTCTCATTTTTATCCAAAGTAAGGAGGCTTCTTGTTTTACTATAATAAACATTGCAAAGAACAGTCAGGTGGAATCGATAAAGTCTACCTGGCTCAGTGGAACAGTAAGTCTGGTACTTGCACACAGCAGCTACGTCAGAATTCTCCAAACTGAAGGAGGTGGCCATGGGAGCAGGCAGGAAAAGAAATTCCCTTATTGATTATAAGCTTGTGAGGGTGGGACAGATAGAGGGCATAGAAAGGGGGCTGCAGTCTCAGAGTACAGCAGTGGTGATCCCAGGCAGAGAGCCCCGGTTGGTCGGGGAGGGAGAGAGACAGAGAGACTGAAGTAGGGAGAAATGGAGACAGAGAGAGAAACAGAGAGAGAGAGAGAGAAAGGAAGAAAGAGGTGACAGGGAGAAGAAGGGAGGGAGAGGGAAAGAGAGAGAGAGGAAGGGGGAGGGAGGGAGGGAAGCAGAGAGACAGAAGAAGAGGAGAGAGAGGAAGGAACTTGGGGAGAGAGAGAGACAGAGAGAGAGAAAGAAAGAGGAAGAGGGAGGGAGAGAAAGAAGAGAAAGGGAGAAAGGGAGGAAGAGGAAAAGAGACAGAGGGAGGGAGGGAGAGAAAAGGTCTAGAGAGGAGGGTCCTAAAAATATTCCCTTAGCTGCTGCCCCAGGGAGCAGGAGTCCTGGACTCCGGATTCCTGTCCCCTCATCTCTCTGGGTCTCCGGTGCCAGTGCTTCGGCTGGAAGGCTCAGGGACTTCTGTTTTCCTTGGCTTCTGCCTGAATCCTGGGGAAGTAAGTGAATTCTCTAGTTGTACATGCTCAAATTTTCTGAACTACTGCAGCAACTTCTAGAAAATTTAGGGAGAATAATCTAGACTTACATTTTAGAAAGTGGAAGTCTGATTTCTGGGAAAAATCTCCAGGCTCCTGGGATTGGCCACTGTACAGCATTCAATGGAATTACCGGCTCCTTCCCGAATGAACAACTCTCTTTGTAGATTCTTATATACCTAATTACTGTGCATCATGGTGATTAATTCAAAACAGGCACCAGACTTATTTAGAATGGAAATATATTGTAATATATTTTCTCGGAGCGGAAATACATTTTACCAAACCTGCCTCTATGAAACACTATCTTAGCAAGGAAAACATCACAGCTATGGACACTGGGCCAGGGAGGGCCACAGCACACAGACGTAAGGGTCATTGGGGAAAAAATGAAAGTCCTGGAAGTTCTTTCAGAGTTCAGAGTGCGCCAAGTCTACAGCAAGCCAACTGGTAAATATTCAGCTCTTCATTTCCTGGGGGACGTGCGTGATATGGAGCCCTGGCCACCCCACGCTGGATCCCAGCG